TCCTCTATACTTACTCTTTTGAGAGATGACTCAAACTAATAAAAATGATTGTGTATGGGTGACCTTTACAAATCAACAGGCAATTTCTGTACTTTTCATTTGCTGTTTAACTCACAGTGGTGCCAACGGAATGAAATGTAATTTGTGGATTTTACAATATCATAGGAAGCCACTGAAGTTCATTGACTCCAAACAACATGAAGTTTTTGCTGGAATAGGGTTTGAATAAGAGCTTTAAAATAAAGAAAACACTGCTGATTAGATCCAGATTTAAAGAATATTATGTTTCAAAGCTACAACTTTTCAAAGTCTAGTAAAGATTTTAGTATCCTTACTGCTGCTAGAAAGATCAAAGGCTGTTTTTAATTTTTGATGATTTTTATTTTCATTTGTAAGCTATTGTGAGCTTCAGATTGATTGCAGAAATGCAAAGTATAAATGTTGAAATGAGTACAGGGAAGACAGTGTTGATCTTTAGATTGGAAGAACTCAAGTTTGAGGAGAGATGTGCTTAGGAAAAAACCAGATTGGATTTTTGACGAAATACATTTGCCATTTCATGAGCCTATTGGAAGGTAGAAAAATGTCCAATTGGAATGCTCCTAGAGTGAAACAGATTTTCATGTCTTGTTACATACCTATTTTGGAGTATATCAACATTTAAAAATAACTATTATGTGGGCAGTGGAGACCTCCCACCTCTTGTGCCTGCCCAACGAAACGGCTGAACATGAGATTTTGGGATAACCAATGAACAACTTGTTTATTAGTTACAACTGCATGGGTCCTGGATTGGGAATCAGACAGCCCACAACTGACCAATGCCAAATATCCAAGGGGGTGCAGTGCAGGTACCAGTTCCATCCTGGGACACCTGCATTTCCGCACCCTGCCCAGAAGCCAACAATCTACTCCCCACCCCACAAACACACACACCACGACCACCAAAAGAGGGGGAGGCACACAAACCAATTCAGAGGTGTCTGGGCCGGCCAGCTGGTTGCCCTTACATTTATGCAGGGCCCAGCCAGAGATGGTGATAGGGCAGGCCTATCTGGCTTCTGGTTGTCTGGCTGACTGGCTAGAAACATGCCAAACCAAGTGGCACACAGGGGCTCCTGGGAAGAGGAAAACCTGAAGAAGATGGCAGTGGGGGCAGGGTGTACCATCACTGTAAAGTCCCTGCCCAGTATGTCAAGCAGCGGATTTTGATGAGAAAAATATCAAACTAAATTAGTGGTTATGGCCCTTTTCAGCATTGTGACAAAGCTTGGCTTTACTGACCAACTCTACAAACATTTTGTGAGGCTCCCAGCAAATTGGTAAACATTCCCCACAGCTGAAACATCTTCCAGCATAAGATTTTTCAACACAGGATTGCCTTCAGAATTAAAATAAGCCAAGTGGAAATAATGGCATTGAGAGTTGGAAGTCTGCATAGCTGTGGGGCTGGTTTGGGGTTGGAATGTAAGCTGTGGGAGAAGGCACATTTTCAGGGCACTATTTTCCACATGGCTTCTAAAGGTCATTCAGAAGACATTTCCCATGACTTTGATTAATTTTAATGTCAGCTTTATGGGTTTGCCCTGTTGAGAAATTTTGCACATTTGTGAAACACTAACTGCTATGTGTTTCTAGTAAGCCATAGCTTTACAGTTGAATCTTAAATTCTTCATCCATTTCCTATATATCACAAATGGTTTAAATATGATATGGGTAGAACTGGGAAGCCATTGATGCTGGCCGGGTAGCTCCATCTATTAAGTCTCTGGGTTTCCTGCACTGAAACAGACCATAACTGAAACTGGGAGAACTGCACCAAATTGACCACAGTACATAGTTTCTATCATGCCTGTGTTCTCATTCTTGTTCTATTAGCTTCTTTCCCAGCAACAGCAGCTACCTATGGTGGAAAAACCTGCATTGAGACTCAAAATTGTTGATATATATGACTATGAGAAGTAGGGATTCTTTCTTTTACAATAAGATCCTGAATCACATAAGGGGCTACTTCTGTATCTGAATACTTGGGGAATGGGGTAGAAATGATCTTACTCATTTTGCAAGCTTCTTCACTTTATTATTAATTTATTTCCCACATTTCTAACCCGCCCTTCTCAACCCCCGAGGGGGGACTCAGGGCGGCTTACATCAGCAACAATTCTTTGTCACAAGAAAATTCAAATATAAAAAAATATAACAGCAATTTAAAACAGTAAATGGAACATTAAGTTTAAAACTCTTTCCATTAATTCAACTATTTTTGGAATATCGTTTGTCTTCCAGTAGCTGTCAACTAACATTTGAACTTCCTCCCACATTATATTGTTTTGCTATTGCAATATTTCCAGTGGCAATGTAAATCCTGACTTGATTCATCTGTTCTTGGAAAAAAAAGAAATCACTAATCAATCTATCCGTTTGTTCATCTCATCACTGCAAGATGGTAAGCTTTTGAGAAAGGAGAAATCAGTCTCTGAGAGATTTGGCCCCTTTTTGAAGCTGGCTTCTGCACATTTCTGTAAAAAACACAATGCGAGAATGCAGTACCTCCTGATTTGTTGTGTAGATTAGTAACATTGAAAGGGTGGTATGTTCCTTTCTGATCAGTCAGTCCATCTGTTTGCATGTGCTGAATTTGTATGTGTCTGTTTCATGTGTATATGTGCACTTAGCATCACATTTTTCAAACAGAGGAGTTTGGCTGACTCTACACTACTCAGTGTAAAACCATATAATGCTGTTTGAACTGCTCCAAACTGGATTATGGTTCTATACTGACCATATAATTCAATTCAAACTGCATTATATAGCAGTGCAGAACCAGCCTTCCACACAAAGTATATTTATTTTGCATAACAAATTGTAAAAATCATAGTTAGGGGAAGACTTTTTTCCCCCATTTTCTTGCCTGGAAAGTTGTATCTTCTCAAGGAGATTGGCAAACCTGTCAGACACTCACTTGTTGCTTCAAAACAGCAACATGAATTCCACTGAGAATTCTTCACATCCCTCATTTTTATGGTCATGCAGGTAGAGGACGATGAGGGGGTTTCTGCTATCCAACTAGTAGTATGGTCAACGGCTTTTGTGATGTAATCATTTTTACATATCACTGAGATTCTCAACCAACTTTCTCCATCTTCAACAGTGCAGCAAAAATGGAGGGGAGTTTTTGCTGAGATTTTACTATTTCACTTGCACTGCTTGCTATTTAGTACAGACTCCTTCACCTTGTGCAACCAAGCATGCCATAGTTAGCAATTGTCTTCAGAACTGAAATTAATGGGTGACAATGTAAACAAAGATGACAATGAAAACTACCATAGAGTAGAAATCAGTATTCAAAGTGTATCCACTACACTGATGTGAGGGAACATTAATTATACCCATTAGATACAAATGTTTATTTCTTTCCTGGAAATCTGGATGGGTTAAACTTGACTTGACCACAATATATGTGACAGGGATGTAGAAGCCTTGGAGCTAGAATGTGTTTAGAGGAAGGTGATTAAAATGGTAAACAATATGAATGCCATTCCCTATGAGGAATGGCTTAGGAACTGAGTATTTTTAGCCTGGAAATGAAGATTAAGAGGGGACATGATAGCCAAGTTTGAAAATTTGAAAGGATTTCCTATTGAAGATGGGTCAGCTTGTCTTCTGCTGATCTAGAGACTAGGCATGGAACAATGGGAAGAACTACCCAATGGTAAGAGCTGTTTGATAGTGGAATATGCTCTTTGAGGGTGTGGTGAAGTCTTCTTCTCAGGGTGTGGTGAAGTCTTCTTCTCAGGACCATCTGTTGGGAGTGCTTTGATTGTATATTTCTGTATGACAAGGGGTAGAACTGGGTGGCTTTGATTCTAAGAGTCTACACAATGGCTTGGGGACCTGCACTGGTCTAGTGACCATCACTTTGAGAAGCACTGCACTACACTACATTGCTCTTCTATTCTTGGCAACAATCAACATGCTCTTCTCTTCAGTGACATAACTGGTAATCAAAAACAATGAAGTCAATGACCTTAAGAAGTTTGTATATAACTGCATATACAGTAATGAGTGTTTAATCATCTCCACATTCTAAAGATTCAAAAGAAAAGGAATTGCCTCTTGAGATCAGCAATTCTGCTGGCAAGGAATTCTCATCCCTTGATTCCAGTGAGATATTAAGTGTGACTATCTTTCTCTGGATCAAGATTTTTTATACTTCTAAACAATTGTTTTCTTCCAGTGTCACTTTTGTCAAAGCCTTGCTACTGCATATGAACAGTATTTAATGCTAGTCTCTGGTTATAATGTAAGGAATGGACAACCTGATGCTTTTATTTATTTAATTTATTTATTTTATCACCTGTTCAATATATGGAAAGGGATCGATTCGTTTGGAAGCTAGAGACATTCTTTAAAAAATAAATGTATTTTTTTCCTGACTAGGAAATAAATTATATCAGATTGATTTCTAGATCTCAGACGTAAGTGTGTCCTTGATGGTGGTTAAGCTTTGTACTTTTCTTCTTCTTTAAATGACTAACCTGGACTAAGAGGTTGGAGCAAGAGGTATTTTGCAAAATTAAACCTGTTTCACCTGAACATGTTTTAACTAGTTAATAAGAAACATCAAAAACCAAGGCAAAAGGCAAAAGACAAAACCCTGAGGTTATGAGCATTCTTTTTGTAAAGATAGTGTTTGATGTTTAAATTTGTTTTTTGGGGTCTGTCTATAACTTAAGTTTTAATAACCTAGCTCAAATGCAGATTTCTAATTTTCAATTAACATAGGAATAATTTTGTTTGCTAAAATAAAATAAATGAATGAATGACAAGTCTGAGCCATGAAATGTTCTAGGTAGAGCTTTTTAAAAAATTCCAAATTTTTCAAAACAAACAAAAAATAACAATCATGTGGCAACTGTATAGCTCGAGCTTTAAGTATTAACTTTTAACCTTTGACCTTACAGATTTTAACCAATGAAATGTCTCTTTAAACTTTAAAGGAAACAATGATAACGAGCGCCTGGCGATTGCTAGACAGCGAATTCCATATCGGCTTGGTCGAGTAGTTGATGAATGGCTACTCGACAAAGGTAAAAACATTGATTAAAACTTCAAATAAAAAAATAATTTGAACATAACCGAGTAGTGCTTCATTGTAACACCAATAAACATAAAAACCATAAATTATTCAGTAAAACTAAATTAAAAACAAATTTTAAACAGTAAAATGTAGAGTAAATATTTGCATACCGTGTATATAATAATTTCTATACATTTTAGTGGTACCGCCTGTTTAATAATCTTACCCTGTTAACTTAAGGTTAAAGGGACTGTTTAATATAATCCACTAACTCAATCTATGAAGGTACTCGTAGCAAACATTAACCAAAACTGATAAATCGTTCATAGATTATGTTACATGTTCCGTCATCTAAATTCTTAACTAAATATTTCTGTATGTAGTTATGAGATGTTCATTATGGTCCTGAAACCAACAAACCAACAAACGAGCAAAATCATTGTTTAAACCATAGGCTAAATCTTAAATAGTAGGCAATATGATTGCCAGACAAGATGAAGTCCCTTTAACGTTTGCTACATTCTAAGGGGATTTGGGAACAAACATGTCTTAAAAGAGAGCTTAAAGTTGTGTGCATGCTTTTATTATGAGCAGAAACCGATCTGCAACAGAGAATTATTATTTTTATTAATACTAATAACAACAATGGGTTTGCACTGATGAGGAATTCTGTTTTAAAGAGCATTGTGACATGACTCTCCATAGATATATGTATCATTCTTTGAAATTGCTTTTACATCACAGACATTTTGATTTTGTTGCCTTTTTCTTTTAGTTGGTAGTCTTGCTGAAAGACAATCAGACATAGACATCTCTCTCTCTCTCTGTTTCTCTCCCCTCCCTTTCTCTTTTTCCTTAGCATTTTTGTTTGTTTCTTAAATGCTCAGAATACAGTATGTATCCTATGCCTCCTCAAAGTGTGTGTGTGGTTGTGTGTGTGTCAGGGAAATACTTCAACATTCATATATGAAGGTCACTAGGAACGGTAAGCTAGCATGTTGGAGACATATTTTACCAAAAGCATACATATGCCAGAGATATCAATTATCCTTATAGATGATTAACTTTGAGAAGAAGTAAACATAATGATTGACTTATACATAGAGGAATGTTTGTATGACAAATATAAATATATAAATATTGTACAGCCCATGCAATATTTCACATTTTGTGTGGTAGAACTGATGACCAAAACTCTGACACACAAATCCCACATTCAGAAATTTATCCCCCTCAAGAAAAAAAAAAGCTGAAGGGAAATATTGCAGGAAATGGATTGCAAAAAAACCTGAAAACAAATGTTGTTTTTAGTTCACATGCACACACACACTTGAGAAAAAGAAGAAATTGTTTAAATTATCAGTTCTGCATTCCATGGGCACCTCATTAAGAAGCAATGAATTATGAGCAAACATCCTTTCTTATAGTTTATTGCTCTCATTCTCCACCCCATAATAATCTGTTGAAATCATCCTCTGTTTAAGAGTGTAGTTTTCGCAATCAACATTTTTTGCATGTATGTAATACTATCTTTGCAGGGCGTCAGCTCACAATCTTCAATAGCCAAGCAACGATAAAAATTGGAGGCAAGGAGCGAGGTCATCCGTTTCAGGGCCAGCTTTCCGGACTCTACTACAATGGCTTGAAAGTCCTGAACATGGCTGCCGAGAGCGATGCCAACATAGTGATAGAAGGGAATGTGAGACTTGTTGGTGAAGTGCCTTCCTCTATGACAACGGAGTCAACCGCTACTGCAATGCAGTCTGAGATGTCCACATCGGTCATGGAAACCACTACCACTCTGGCTACAAGTACAGCTAGAAGAGGAAAGCCACCGACAAAAGAACCCATTGGCCAGGTTAGTCATCTTTGGTGGAATTATTAAATCTTTGGGCTGTCTGTTATTTGTGGTTTCTGGATTATCTGCCATTGTCTGATTTTATGAGTTTTGCAGATATAAAGTCATAGTAATTGGTGGTACTCCACAGTGGTTGCACTTCCTTGTTTCCAAAGAGTCCCGTGTTACACAGTTGGTAGAAGTTAATGTGTTTTGTTCATCTGCATACTTAAGCCAATGTCTGGATATAGATTTCATTTTCCAAAATGTTCTCTATACAAGTTATGACCAAAGCAGAAAGAAACAGATTCTTCATTTGAAGTTCATGTATTGGCGTGTTTGTATCAAGCAGCTGTGGGTGCAACACAGTTGAACTTTAAGAAACATCTGCTCTAGAATTAGACACATGAGCTGATGCTCTTAAGGATGCTGTGAGCACAATAGGAACTATTTGGAATTAAGAAGCTTGACGGATATACCAAATATTTGGATACTGCAGAAATGAGGAGCAATATTCCAATTTTCTCCTTGTCAATTGCAAATGTGTAAAGTTGATTGTATAAGAAGACACGATTAACTGCCACATCAGACAATGTTAAATATATTTGTCATTGGCAAGGTGAAAATTGGAATATTACTTATTTAATCCACAGCAAAGGCGGCCAGTCATTCTGTTGCTGGGTTTTATGGGAATTATCAAAGGTACTGAACCTATTTTGATAATAATTCACATTTGATTAAAAGAAAAAAAGAAACATTGTCGATTTACTACTCTCAAGCAATGGAGCCAGTGACTGCCTCTTGTCCACAAATGGCTGACATGGACAACATATTTTCATTTTAGGGGGTCATCTAGATAATCTTTCTGAAGTGTTATAAATTCAGACATTTTTTTTTGCTCTCAGACCCCATCTACACTGCTATATAAAATCTAGATGATCTGCTTTGAACTGGATTATATGGCAGTATAGATTCATATAATCCAGTTCAAAGCAGATAATCTGGATTACCTGATTTGATAATCTGGGTTATATGGCAGTGTAGGTCCAGCCTTACAAACAATTAGCAAACAGAAATTAGGTGCAGTAGGTCAAAGTGGATGATACATTCACATTTTTAGGATTGGTATTCCTATTAGAGGAAAAGATGTCTGTCATATAATGTATTTTTCTTAGCTCCGTATCTCTAGCATGCTTTGCTTTGTGACTTATCACTGATAGGAAAAAATGGATTTAATTTAAGTCTGATTGTTAAGACATGTATCTCTGAGGAAGCCCTGTTGTGAAAAGGAAAACGCTTAATAGACGGGAACAGACATTGCCTTTAAAGTTTTGTTTGTGCCAGTATTGGAGCTATTCCTGAGAAGGGGAAAGTCTGGATAGACATACACATCTTATTTCCCCTCATGCCTCATCTGATCAGGATAAACATCTTCTGAAGTTTGGATTTAAGTTTTAATGGCTCTAGTCTGCATTTTTTTCTCCCTTCCAGCCCTCCTTGTGCTGATTTCTTCTTTTTCCCCATGTATGTGTTGGGATGAAAGTCAGTGATAAGGAGAAAATGTGGCAGGACAAGAGTGTTCTTATGGTCTGGTAAACCTTCAGGAACATACCTGAACTTCATGGACACATGTTGTAACATTTAGTAGTACTGGGGACTACATTTTATATGTTTCCTAGTGTCACTAGATGTTCCAAACCATTCCTGTTGGAGAACTTAAGCCTTAAAGATGTGTTTTTGGGGGAAGTCAACTCTCTCCATCTTCTTCACTTTCAAGGGTAAGTTTGGAAAGAGTATGGATAAGACAGAGGTTAGGACTTGAGGCTCAATCTAAATTGTGAAAAATTTTTCATGAGTTAGCATGGGCTCCATCTGATTTTTTTTAAAAAGTTGGATCCATACTAGTGGAGCCCATTACAAATGTTGCATGTTCTATTGAGCCAATTTATTCCTTCTTTCAGAGTGTCCTCCTCCATTCCTCATCCCCAGTAGACACTGCATTCTCTGGACTTTGGGCCTTTTGAACCCTCATTTGGCTTGATTTGGGACTTGTTTCTAACAGTTTTATTTCATTTTGACTTTTGCAAACAAAAGCAGAGATGCTTCCCAATTTGTTAATGCTCTTTTTTTTTCATACGCATTTGTCAGTTCCATCACCCACCAATGTCCACTGTAAACACATAGATAACAATAATTACATCATTACAACTTTTCTTCTATGTAGCTCCATATTAATGTAGAGATCGCTTATAGATCTCATGTTTTTTGGTGAGATCACACTCTGCTCTAATAGTGTGTAATAGAGGTGAGATAAAATATATTTTATGGTCTTCTTTCATTTCTCAGTTCTGAAGGTAACATGACTCAGAACTTTCAAACTGTGTTCTTTTCACTGAATTATAATGTGCTGGTACATTTCATCAAAGAAGGGTCACCCTGAGGGAAGAAGCTTTTCTAGTATTATGTCCTGGTCTTTCTGAAATGTCTGCACAGTACTTTGCTTAAAGCAATGCTCACATTACTTTGTTATGATCGAGTGAACATATAGATACATGTTTTCCCCCTCTGTCCTTCTAATATTTCAGAGAATTGTACTCATAGGGTCACCAATGTTTAACTGGCGATGCTCTTGTGCCTTTAACAGCAGTTTGATATGCAGAGATGTAACAGGTAACACATTTCCTGCTATGCCTTGATCTAACCCAGACCTGCTTAACTTCAGCAGACTGTTTCAGAATATGCCCTGGGATAATGATGAGAGTTATGTTATATTTAGCACAAGACCTGATGTTTATCTACAGGACTCAGTAATGTAGCAGTTTAACTTTCATTGTTCCATCCAGATGTATCCTGGCCTTTGTCATTTGCTGAGGAACGGTTCTTTGGGAGTGAGCTTTAGTGGGCTCTCAAATGAGGAGAATATCCAAAGAATTTTAAACAGTTCCTGAACTGTTGGGAAACTGCAACAAGGAAAATCTTCACCCAAACCCCCTACCTATTGAGAAACCATTGCTTATACCATCATAAGGAGGAGAATGGTTTGTTAAATCTTTTTATTAAATAAAATATTACCTTTCCCCTCCCACCCTCTAGAGCAGTGGTTCTCAACCTGTGGGTCGCCAGATGTTTTGGTCTTCAGCTCCCAGAAATCCTAAGAGTTGGCAAACTACCTGCGATTTATGGGAGTTGTAGGTCAAAACACCCGGGAACCCACAGGTGTTTTGGTTGAGAACCACTGCTCTGGAGAGTCGCCACTTTCCTGGGCCTACCCATATTCTTGTTATTAAAGGATATAGTTTGCCCTTTTTGTTGCCTTATATTTACACATTCTCCAAAGAGTCACTTCCCTAAAGACATCACTTCAGGATTAAATATATTGCCTTCCCAGTACAGATCACAGCCTTGTACTGGCTAGAGGAGGATGGCGGGGAGGGTGGCTAAGGGACATTTCCCTATCTTCAGATAGCCATTCACAAGACAATGCAGGCTTTGATTTGACCTGAGCTAGGCAGTACGTTTAATCCTGATGTGATATCTTTAAAAGTAGTAGTAGTAGTAGTAGTAGTAGTAATAATATTAAAAAAAACAAAGTGTGGATTGTTGATGTTGCAATCCCAGGTGACAGCAGGATTGAAGAGAAACAACTGGAAAAGTGACACGATATGAGGATTTAAAGATCGAACTGCAAAGACTCTGGCACAAACCAGTTAAGGTGGGCCCAGCGGTGATCGGCACACTAGGTGCAGTGCCTAAAGACCTTGGCCTGCACTTAAACACAATTGGCGCTGACAAATTACCATCTGCCAGCTGCAGAAGGCCACCTTACTGGGATCTGCACACATTATTCACCGATACATCACACAGTCCTAGACACTTGGGAAGGGTTCGATGTGTGATCTAATACAACAGCCAGCAGAGTGATCTTGTCTGCTGTGGACTCATCTTGTTGTGTTTCTAATAATAATAATAATAATAATAATAATAATAATAATAATAATAATAATACATTTTATTTATTTTCTGCCTCTCCTTATGGTTTGAGGTGCGGTACAACAAAGTCGAAACATATGAACATGAAATACATACATTAAAATGCATATAGCAAAACGCACCATTATAAAAACATACTTGGTCTGTACCATCAATTACAATATGTTTCAATGTGCTTTACTAAATTAGGGGTGGGGGCGAATCATTTCTAAAATATTGTAATGCGTCCATATTGTAACTATAATGATATAAAGAAATTTTGTTACTTTTTCGTTATGTGATTGCACAAGGAGGGAAGCTCTGAGGCTCCTTTCTCCCTCATTTTTAGAGCTATTGGGATGAAACTTCCCACAATGATAGAACACATTTACCACTGTAACCGCCCGTCATTCTTCCTTATGAAAATGAAATCAAGAAAGCCTTCCATTCCTAGTGGGTTCTGCTCTGTTAGCGTTAAAGCTCAATCAGAAAATTCAAAGCACGTCAGCAATCTAACAATCCCAGGAAGCTATAAATTGAAGCAACAGAAATTTTTTAAAGGTGTCAAATCACCTTAATTGTGTAGCATTGGGACACACTCATATTTTTAGGAAGAGCCAATCATTGTATGTTCTCTGGATTACATTCGACCACCTTACGACTGTTATGTCTAACGTTTGTGCCATCCCCCCCCCCCAATTCTTTCCATCTTGTTATTGCTTCAATCTGGCTAAAATGCACCTGGTGAGTGTGTCTGTCCTTTGATTTGTAGAGGTTGCCGCACTGACATCATTGCAACATGAAAGATGAAATTTTCCTACAAGCTTCCCTAGTTACACTCTTGCTACAAGTTCAGGCATGTAGAGCTGCCAAATGTCCTCTTGCTGTGAATTAGTTCACTGGTATTTATCTATATAGTTAGTGTTGTTATTTTTAATGTATTCCTTTCACCAGCAAGATATACTTGCATGTTCCACTGAAGTGGTTGCTCCAGCATGGATGCTGAGCACTTTAATCTCCCATTGACGTCAGCAAGAATCGAGGACATTTAG